GAGAGAGAGAGAGAGAGAGAGAGAGAGAGAGAGAGAGAGAGAGAGAGAGAGAGAGAGGTTCAGTATGGTGGCGGGTGTGGTATGGCCTGGCCAATCATCGCCGCTATGATGGTCTGCAGGGACCTCTGCCGAACGGCCTATACCTGAAAGTATGCGGTGCGAACGTGACTAGCATTGATGATAGTTAGGTCGTCGTCATTGACAGCTCAAAAGGATTTTACAGTAGTATTCCATTCCGCTCTTTGTACCTGTCCATTGGGTAATTTATTGATTGAGTGGTATATTCATTTCCAATTTCTTCGCTCGGTAGATTTGCACGCGCTGGCTTCCGGGTAACACGTCCCCCTCTTTACCAGTGGAACCGGCGATGCGTATATCCATCATCGCTTTCTCGAATGCTGCTGATTGGGGGTTGCACTGTGAGCACTTCGATCTCCTTTGCATTACCGAAAAGAAAGTAAGAAATTGAAGACCGAAGGAAAAAGAACTGCAGAAAAGAGTAATGCCCTTAGAGTACGGTGGAAGGAGAGTACGGAAGCGTTGTACTTTGTACTCGTTTGTTGCGAAATATATCTTTTTTCTATTCTGCGAAGAATTTTGTCTTGATTACGATTATAACAATGTCTTTTTCCAGGATTTGAACCATCGCCACGTGTCATTATTGACAAATGCCGGAAGGAGGGATGATACTCGTCCAAATGGTTTTGCTATATCGCAACGTGGCTATTAGCCATCTCCATCATCGCTTTTGCCTTGGAAGATTAGGAATGGAGTTTAGCGTTCAACCTGCTTGGGGAGATTGCAACATGTAGCATTCGAGTGGACTGGATGCCACATGGGCATCTCGTGAGGACGTGGTCAGGGGGGGATCACAGACCTCGCTCCGCTGCTTGACATTCCACATGCAGCTTGACTGTATTCTGGACCAGATGCATTCGGACTGATCAGACATCTTGAATGTATCGCGACCACTACCAGCTCCAGATGCACATTTAGAATGTTTGTGCAGTGAAGCGAGGCCGCACAAGGATTGCCGAACGGAAGAAAAAGAATTCGTCTTGGATTGGATCTCTTCCCAATCGAATGTTCAATCCTTTTGTTCCCTCGTCCTGTTCCTCCCTTTTGACAACCTCGACCCCTTTCCCCCCCTGGCTTCCTCCCCCGGACCGCCCCCTCCCCCCCCCATACACACACACACACACGCACACACACACCTTCCTCGCCCCCCAAAAGCAGCAAATACGTCGAATTTCTGGTAATAAGGTGTTTT